ATGGAGGTTCTGATCAGATCTGAAGAAGAATCATCCCTATACACACAGTGATGATGGTCTGGAATGAGAGTCACACTGTTTACCAACATATATTTTTCCTTTTGAAATGGAACTACATGGTGAATTATAAAGTAGACAGAGAGACCACAGTCATGACCATGTGTGCCCAGGTATCCAAGAATTAGATTGATCTGAGTGGTACCCCTTACTACGCAAGAACTGCTATCTGAAGAAGCCAAGTATATGTGTATTTTGACTTTTTTTGGCAATACTTGTCTTTCAATATTTATTCAAAACTTTGAATAGCTGAAGAAAAAAGCTTGTTAGCTGGGTGCTGGTGGCTCATGCGTGTAATCCTGACTACTCCGGAGGCAGTAATCAGGAGGATCACGGTTCAAAGCCAGCTCTAGGCAAATAGTTTGTGAGACCCTATCTTGAAAAAACCCAACAGAGAAAAGGACTGATGGAGTGGTTCAAACTCAAGTTGTAAGAGGGTCTGTTAGGAAGTGTGAGGCCCTGAGTTCAAACTCCAATGCTACCACAAAAAAGACAAAAGCTTGTTTAATCCACTGGGTCAGTGTTTCTGTCCAAATGAAATTTAAGTCTTGATATTCTACCTGACAGTTGCTAAGTATTTTAACCCTATTTATTTATTTATATTTATCTGTTCTGGGGTTCGATCTCAGGCCCTCATGCTTGCTAGTCAGGTTCTCTACCACTCAAGCTACACCTCCAAGGGCCCCCTTGCTGCACAATTAAATAGTCACAAAATAAGTAGGAGTACCATTGGTACCACTGAGGAATTTGACATTAGTATCAGGTGAACCCAGGATTCAAAAGTCCCTAAAATATCCCTTTTTTCCTCCTACTCTATCAAATGAGTGCAGTTCTCACTGGGGAAGGTTGAAGATTGGGAAAGTATTTGCCAGGAAAAATTACAGTGTCCCTGAAAGGTCTTTCCTTAATGTGATCCAGACTCAACAGACCTCAATCAATAGACTTTTCTGTGAAGTGACTTAGGACTTGAAGCTTGAGGAGGAACAGTGATTTTCCATTACAATTCTTTACTAACATAGTTCTTGGTATTGTCTCCAATTATATCCATGTTACAAATTCCAATGGTTTGCTCTGCCAATTTTAGTTTTTCTCAGCAGCACTTGGAAACATGATCTCTCCCCCTCTGTAAGCAGTGACATCTGTGTTTCATTTCCTGAGTTACATTTATATTCCAGCACCCTTTATTTGCTTCTTTCTTATCTTCCTAGGAGCTCTGCCTCAGTCAAATCTCTAAAGATTAGAACATATCAGGGCTCAGATTTGGTATCACTTCTCCATTACTGTTTTTTTGTTTGTTTTTGTAGTGTTTGCGTTGAAATCCAGGGCCTCAGATATGCCAGGAAAGCGCTTAGTTATGCTCCGAATCCCAGCAATCTTTTAAAAGGTAATTTCATTAATATATTGATGACATCCAAATTTATGTCTCTGCTCTCTATCTTTACAGATTCAGATCTTCAATATGTATTTGACATTTTTTATTTGTTTATTTCATTGACCTGAGAGCATGGTAAATAAAATTTTTTTAATAAAAATTATTTTTATTCTCCCCTCCCTCAATTCAGAGCTCCTCTCACAATCCTAGGCAGCAAAGTATTCCCATTTTTTAAAGTAAAAATGACCTACAAGTCTTTTTTACATCCTTCTTTCCTTAAATTCCCTCTTTTCTTCTAATCAATCACTTTGAGGTTTATCAGCTTTACCTACAGAATATATAAAATTCATACACTAAAAAAATCCCCTAACTCCAAAATTTGAGCCACGTTGATTTTTTTCTATCGACTACTTGTTATAACAACTTACTAGCTGATCCTCTTAATTATATTTTGCCTAACACATCCATTCTTTTTGTACCAAAGTGAACTTAAATCTACATGTAAATCCAGTCATGTTTACTTGGTTTCAATTTCTTAAATATCTTCTCAGTGTACTTAAATTAAATAGAAATTCTCTTTATAACCTGCAATGCCTTCATGATCTCAAGGCTTATTTCTTGCTAGTTACCCTTACTCACCATGCTCTGATTATTCAGAACTTTGTTGCTTTTTCTCAAACGCTTCCTTCTTAAGGTCTTTGCCTCTGCCCTGCCATGTTTTTGTGATGTCATTTCTCCAAAATGTTGAATGAGTTGATTATATTTGTCATTCAAGTCTCAGATCAGGTATCAGTTTCTGGAGCAGATCTATCCTGACTAGGTATATAAAACTACTCATCTTCAGCTGTTCTCAATTGCATCAATCATGATTGTATTTAATCGTTTACTTGATCATTAACTGTACATTTCATAAGAACATGTGCTTTGTTTTATTTTATTTGCATTTCCTGTCTTATTTATTTGCCTGGAGCCTGAAGTTCTAGTGCAATGGTGACACATTGCAAAACTCTAGTGCAATGGTAACAGATTGCAAAACTCTAGTGCAATGGTGACACGATGAAAAGTCATAATGCATTGGTAACACTTTGCAAGACCCTAGTGCAATGGTGACAAGTTGCAAAACCCTAGAACAATCTATCAACTATGATATCCCAACACCATCCCACAAAAACTCAAATGTGAGGCTATTTGCATCCTACAGTGGTATCCCATGGTATCTGGCATGGCTTGGTGACCTCAGCCAAACCTCTGTCTGTCTTGTCTATTTTCCCCATCTTGATATCCCTAGAAGGGCATGTCGTACACACCTATAATCCCAGCCCTTGTGCAGAGGCTGAAGTGGGAGGACAGCGAGTTCAAGGACAGCCTGAGCTATACAGTGAGACCCTAGTATACGGGAAAAAAGTCATCTAAATGACATTGCAGTGGGTATCACTCTCTAGGGTTTATGTGTGTTTTGTAAGTTATTGTACATCCCTGGAGATTTATCCAGCCATTTTCAGGACCTGCAGAAGTCAGGGTGCTGATGAAAAAACCCCCAAAATGACAGGAAATGAGAATTTTCCCTCACTGGATTTAGGGAAGAGGATCCAGGCTAAGAGCAGCAGGTGGCCAACTCGGACAGTGTGATTTGTCACTTTGCAGAAGGACAGAATGAGGTATTGACAATACCTGTTGTCATTTGCCTGAGGGACATGAAAGAACACGGTGGTTGTGGGGACAACAGGTCCTGTCTTATTTATTTGCTTGGAGCCTGACACTCAGACATTCAGTGTGTGAATGGATATCTAGCAATTAAGCAAGGAAGAAAAGCAGGAAGAAAGTAATCTGGTTGCATTATCTGTAGCCTCTTCACTACACTCTGAAAACTCTGTCTTAAATAATAGGCATGAAAGAAGCAATGCAAATACTCCTTTGAACTTTTCATCTTTGCATGATTTCTCAGAAGTAATATAATCTTAGAAGATCATCCCATCTAATTTGGCAATATCACCTTCATCCTAGTAAAGAGAATTATGTACAATTAGCAGCCACTAAATACTGCTAATTTCTACCTCAGTATCCTTTGTCTGACTGTTGTCCACAGAGAAATAGAATGTTGATGTTCTGTATTCACAATGTAAGTGGCTAATCAAGGTTCTAGTGTCTACCGTATAGGAACATCAAAGATTCAAGTAAAGATTCTTCTGCCAAGACTCCCATTAGCTATAAGGGTTCCTTTATTCCCATGCCTGATAAAGTCACATAAACATACCTATGTTTCAGTGGGGACACAGAGACTGGAATTCTTTAAGACAATATTGACAGGCATGTAATCTATAGTCCACGCATCCAATTTCCTATTTTCTTTAACTTACCAGGCACTCAGTAAGTCTTTCTAAGTTTGTCAATTTAATCAATGTTTCTGTTTTCTATTGTCTTCAGAGAAGAAAAATAATAAAAAAAATCTTTGATTTTTATCAAATTTATTGGTGACAATGTTTAATACCTAATATTTCTATAGAACATATAGAAAATGTTCTATAAACATTTCTTTTTCTGTACACAAAGTTCACTAAGTTCATGGCTATTCTAGACTAGTCTGTAACAGAGTTGATCACTGCAAAATAACTTTGCCATATACAAATAATGTGCTCTTGATGGAATGTTCTGAATAGATATTTTATAGAAGTATTTATATACAATGTATATTGTTTCCTTTAGGTATAGAGATGATTTGCACCAAATCAATGCTTCTTTGACAGTTTGGATATTTTATCATCTTTTGATTGAAGGTCTAATCATACTATTTTGACAATCACTGTCTAGTACAGTGTAAGTTTGCCAAAATTCAACTTATACATGTCTTTCATGCAGAAATTTCCTTCAGTAAGCAGTTAATAGACTCTTCATATTATATAAAGTCTCTACACAAGATTTCCCACTCTCATTTCTGGAATGCCTTTCATTCATTAATCTATGATTCTAAAATAATCTCAAACTTACTATCACAATGTTTATTTTAATCACAACTTATACCTTATGTGCTTATAGTCAGTGTTAGTTTCTGTTGTATGCATATAATTCCACAGAATTTATTAAGAATTGTCATCCAATCCAGTCTTTTACAAAGGTGAAATGTAGTTGGACAATCCAAGAAGAAAAATCTAAGTAGGACCATAAGAATGAACCAGCTGCTTTTCAGAAGGATGCAAATGACAACAAGATGCTATTACAGTTGTTTTGAATTAGGCATACAACTTTGCATTTGGAGAAAAGATTTAGAGCTGACAATGAAAATGCCCTCTCTTCTCATGGTTAATGTTAGGATATTAACTACAACTTATCCTGAAACATGTTTTAAAAAACATCAACTTTGAAGAGAGGAAGAGAGAAAGACAAAGAGAATCAGAGATATTAAGACATGCAAAGTTGCTATACATGACATTTCATAAATTACAGTTAGTCTACTAAATAAATTTTAAGAGTAATTAACCATGTGAAACCAACATCAATATAGGAACTGAAAACAATTCTCATGTCTTTTTTTGTCCTAGAAAATTATAGCTTTTTTAAAGATCCATTTATGCTGTTAAAATAGTCTTCCTTTTAGGATATACTTTACTTTCCAAAACACCCTTCTAGATGCTCGTCTTAATTTATTGTTCCCCTCTATTAGGATAAATGAATGACTTGAAGGATATATTAGAGCTATCAACTCACCAAAAATCACAGCTAATTCACTATCTGGCATAAAGTAGCTGGAGGTGGCTATGAGAAAGGCCAAACAGTAGACAACAAAGAGGAGGAGGAAGGAGATGACTGCTTTCATGGCTCCCACATGGGCTTCTGTGCTGGGATCTCTGTGACCTGTGGCATTGAGCTGCATCTTCCTCGTGTGTCTCCACAGGGAGAGGATCAAGAGGAGAAATGAGAGCAAGGACACAGAAAGGGGGAACAGCATTATCAGGTTGAGATATACATTGGTAAAAAAATATCCAGTTTTATTTACTCTGCATTTCAAAGTTAAGTTTGTTTTCCATTTTGCCTTTACACAGTATCTGAAATCCTCATTCAAATTCACAGTGATGGGAAGACTAATAAATGCAGAGAAGATTAAGCACCCGAGTAGAGTTCTGAGAATCACTTTGTCAATTCTCCACTTCATCCAGAGGAAAAGGGGGTGGAAGAAGTTAGCTATCTTGAAAAAATAGAAAATGCTGAGGCAGGTAGCAAACCAGACACTTAAATGGTTGGTTAGGGTCCAGAAGAAGTCAATAATCCTCATTTCTTTACCATAGTAAGAGACATCTGAATACAGCACCAATACAAAATAATCAAAAAGTATTGTACACAGTAGACAAATTCTGGATGTGGCCAGACTTGTGAGGATTACATCAATGGAGGCAAATTTCTTCTTCTTCTTCCAGTCCATGAAGTTTACCAATCCAATGAATGCATTCCCTATGACCCCTACTAAAAATTCTCCACCTGCCACAAGCATCAAAATGGTATTCACCTTATATGACCTGATGTAGTTTGGCATCTACATCTCCTTCTTAGATTGTGTAATTTTCTTTATCTCTTTAAATGTAGTCTGTCTTCTGATGAAGACTGGAATAAGTGAAGGCTGCAGCTATTTGCATTAAATCATAATTAGTTATGACAATGAGTTTTGCAATCTTTAGTTTGGGCATGATATGTTTATTTACCTTCTCAGCAGATCATTCTTTTCCACATATAGTTAAATTAAGCTGAGCTACTGTTTGCTAAGATGCAAATTGAGCCAATAATTTTTCATACTCCTGCACTGTTTTTCTGAGACTGTGTTTACAAATTTTGGAGTATCAGATTTAGTAAGTAAACATTCAGGACATCCAGTTAAACTCGAATTTTAGACAAACAATGAACAATATTTTAGTATCTGTTCCAAGTTGCACAAGATCAGAACTTTCAGAAAGTACTGAAGTTAAGTTTAGTTGGGTATCTTGTACTTTATCAGGTCAACCTAAACCTCAAGAGTTTGCTAGCAAATGGAATGGCAAAAATCGAAATATGTGGAAGAATTTTCATCTTGTTGGATAATCATATTCATTATTTGTACAAAAATATTAGAAAAGAATCCAAAATTTTGGTCTACACTAAAAGATGTATGTTTTCAGGAAATTGAAAAGACGGACACTAAGTGTACAACACTTGCTTCCCGTCCACACCCAACTTAGCTCATTATCTCGGTCATTCAGATGAACAATTACATTGTATAATGTTTCTTAAAATAATGTGTCACCTTATTGGCCAAGTGACATACATTGTTCACTTAGTTTATGATGCTAGGTATAATAAGGTAAGGGATTTGTGATAAAATGGCTGTTGATTACATTTAGATTTTTCATTTTTATTTCAAATGTTCCTAAGGAATCTTTGGAAGGTATCAGATATGTCTGCTGCCTCCATTGTGGTGATGGTATCGTGGGTGTTTGTCCAAACTTAACAAATTCTATGCACTAAATATGTTCAGTTTCATGTATAAATTATGTCTTAATTAAATTGAGTTGTTAAAATGAAAAAATGCTTTAAGTGTATTTGTATATATGAGAAAGAAGAGTGGAAAATCCTGTATTTCACTCTCCTTCAAACCAAAGTACATTAAGTATCGAGATCCTCAGCCCCTCTAGCATGAGAATAAGATTAAATTTGCCACATTTCTACAGATTTTTTTGGTGTAGTAATGGGGATTGAATCCAGGCCTTGAGCTTGGTCTACCATTTGAGGCACACTCCCAACCCTTTTGTTTGTGATTCGTTTTTGAGACAGGATCTCACTACCTTTGCCCAGGCTGCTCTTGAACTTGTGGTTTTCCTGTCTCTGTCTCCAAATATTATGATGATAAAGAGTGGCAGGGATTATAAAAGTAAACCACCACAGCCAGTTCTTTCATCCTTCTTAAAGGAGAAAACTTCATACCTGAGACACTACCCTGATTTATGGATAAATTGAGTGATTTTGTGGCCATGATCATAAATGGCTGCTTTCTTCTGATCTTGGAAATTAACCCTGATCCAGGAACATAATTTCTACTCCATAGTGTACCCTGGAAAATAAAGTGCTCACAGTAACAATAATACCTTCACCCAAATAATTTTTAGACCAATTTTTAAATTTTGGTTTCTTTGCAAATAAGGGTAGATTTATGCATGCCAGTATGGACATCAGTCCTGGAAGTTATGAGGATGCTGTAGTTAAGAAAAAAAAGTTCTAGAAACAAGCATTTTGTTACATGTCTATTACAATGAACCTATCATTGTGGAGATACTTGAAAATATTGGAGATACAGGAAACAAAACATGGAAGAAGAAATTTCAGACTAATGGGGTGAAGCCTTCCTAAAATTATCAATCTTATAAAACATCCATTTCATCCAAACCTATAGAAAAATATAAAGTTCATCCTATCATAGGCTTTAGTTACTTTATAGAATGTATTAATATAATTCACCAAAGGAACATGAATTTTATTGTCTTGTATAATAAATATCAATATAGGTAGCTAGTATATTAGAAATTTAAATGACAAAGTTTATATAATTAGGATATAAATAACAGTACTTTACAGAGTGAACTTTGCATAATAGAAAGCAGAAGCAATCAAGAATTATAAGTAATTAATATTTTAGTTACAAGTAAATGAGGGGCAAGGGAAGAAGAGGGGGGATGATGAAAGGGATAAATCTAAAACTAAGATAAATTGTGAGCACATACATAAATATCACAGTGTATCCCTTTGTACAACTATTATATGCTAATAAAATTGAAAAGAAGAAAATTAGTAGATTTAAATCATCCCAAAACAGGAATAAAAACAGTGGGAGTAAATGCAAAAATGCACAACTAGATCAGAACAGGCATGATTTCAGGTAAACCATGCCAATGTTTCAAAAAATATTCTAGTGATAGAGAATCTGATTTTCACAATAAAGTCACATTTTACTAATGACTTATCTTTTTTAAAAAAAGTACTCTGTGTTATGGACGTACATTGCATTTGTTGACAGTATGTGATTCTTCTATTGTATGTGCTAAATTTCTTCCAAATTAATTTCTTAAGTCCTGACTTGAAAATTCTTGCTAGTCTTATTAAAGAAAGGAACCTGAGGAAACAATCTGTCTGACATTAGTTACCTGTATTCATTTAGACAGACTATAAAGAACACTTCAAATGCGATGCTTTGGAATGGATTCTTCTACTCTTGCTGCCCGAGAAGCAGGTCTTTGTGAGGAAATTTAATGTCAAGGATAAGGAATAGCAAGCACCAGAATAAAGTCAACCAGGAATATTACCCAGGAGCCTCATTCAAGAAACTGCACCAGAGACCAGGTAAGGGAGATCTGGATTCCTAGATAATAAGCCAAGTGGAAGTAACTCAACAGAGCCACGAATAAAGGCCAATATTGAGAATACATGAATGGAAGAGGGAGAAACCATTAAGTGTAGCAGAGATGCAGCTTACCATAGACAAAAGTCAAATCTTAAAAGAATTTAACTACACACAATGATATATGCCTAATATTTTCATTAACAAGGCAAGAAGAGATGTATGAATTCTGAGATTAGAGCAAAGGGAAAATGAATATAAGAATGACTATAAAGAGACATAAAGGATGTATTCATTAATTTGCTAATAGGTCTTGGTATGCTGGAAGATATGCATCCAAAATAAGTGGAATAACTGGAAAAAATTAGAATGAGAATGGACTTATAGAAAATAGTATTTTTTTTTTGAGACAGGATTTTTCTATGCTGCTCCAGCTGGCTGGCTTCAAACTCTTGAGCTCAAGTGATCCTCCTCATCAGAGACTACTGTATTTTTATTAGAAATAAGGTTTACTTTTGAGTCCATTATATAATTAATATTTCATACCATATAAGCTATTTTCTACACATCAACATCTTGACAGATGCCTGCCTAAGTTTATTGTTTCCCAAAATTAACATAAGTGAGTGACCCAATGGATATAGAATGCTATAATCTCCCCAATCATCATAATTAGCTTTTGTTCTACCATAAGATAGCTAAAAGTTACTAAAAGAGAAACCACACAGTAAATAAAAAAGAAGAAGAAAAATGAAATTATAATTTTCATGGCTCTCACATGAGCTTCTATGCTGGGGTCTCGACAACCTGTAGCATTCAGTTTCATTTGCTTAGTATGTCTCCATAGGGATACCATTAAAAGGAAAAATGAGATCAGTGATATAATAAATGGAATCATTGCAAATAGGTTAAATAAAGTTAATGGCTCAAAATAATGAATTTTGCTCACATTGAACATTTCAGTGCCATTTCTTTTATGGTTTGTAATTCTATGAACCTTAAACGTACAACTCAGTATTGGTTCCAGTACAAAGAAGACCAGCAAAGAAATGGCAAAGCATCCAAGCAAGATCCAATGAACCATTCTGTCAATTCTCCACTTCAGCCAGAGAAAAAGTGGGTGGGAGAAACTGGCTACCTTGAGGAAGTAGAAGACACTGAGGCATGTAACAAAATACATACTTAAATAGTTGAAGATTGTCCAGAAGCTGAAAAGGAATACCTGCAGTTTATGATTTTCATAAGCATGTGGGTATAGCACTATCAGAATGCCATGGAGAACAATTGTACCAACCAAACATATTCTGGAGATAGCTAAACTTGTGAGGATATAATCAATTGAGGAAATCTTTTTCTTCTTAATCCAGTCAATCCAGTTGACTAGTACAATATATCCATTCCCCAACACCCCTACTATGAATTCTACAGATATTATGATGATAAAGATAGCTTCAGTAGTGAACATGTTTCTGTAGAGAACACTCTGATCTCAAATCTCACTGTAGATGGGCTAATTTACAAATGACCAGTTGGAGCATGATAAATTCTTCAAATTGTGCGACAATATTTTCATCTGTTGTTATTCTGACTTTGATAGCATTCCCAAAGTGCTCAGCTCTCCTTTGGAATAGAATTCTTTTTACATTCACAAAGACTAAACCAACTGATTGCCCCAAGTGGCTTGTATAGTGTTTTTGTACCTTGGGAAAATTAAAGTTATTACCTTTAGTGAGTGATAACTGAAGTGATTGGTTGAAACTGTTCTCATCCAAATTCAAAGAGATTTTATTTCATGAATTTGCAATAGGCTTCTTGGTGTAAGTTCTGGATGTTTGAATCTGTCAAATTGAGTTTCTAATAAGGAGTCATAAATAGAAAACAAAAAAATTAGTGTTTAATGAAATCAGAATGTGTAAACAAAACTTCATTTTCTCACCATGAGCTATAAATTACCCACAAATTCAGGTCTCTTAGGTGGCAATGGAACTTCATTTTGGAGAAGATAGGTATAATTAGGTTGTAGAGAATTAATATCCAGTTAGAAGAGAGTAGCTTTTGTCTTCATTTAAATGGTTAATTAAGGAAAGCTATGAAACAATCTGATTATAAATGATGTTGTGACTAGTTTGACAGGGACATGACAATAGAGAATTTGCTCTCTGCAATTAATAACTTGCTTATTAGAAGGGACAAAGATTTGTTGCCTGTAATTTTATTTAAAATGAGAAATATTCACAGAGGCAATTCACTTCTTGAAACAGTCTCTCTTGAATAATAAGCATTTCCTCTAAAATTAAGGAAATTTGTACTTCATGTTATTCAAGTTCTAATAAATATCCTTTTATAAGGCTTATGATCTCACAGTTCATAACACAGTCATGTCTCTAGATGGGGTGATCACATAAAGCATGATTTTAAAAACCAAATAATGTTTCCAGGGAACAGGACTAATTTTACTATTAAATTATATTGATTCTTTGTTTTTGGAGAATGTGACTTAGCCCCACATATATATTACTAATTTTTTTTGTTAGCACTGGAGTTTGAACTCATGGCCTCATCCTTGGTAGGCAGGCGCTCTGCCACTTGAGCCACCCACCAGCCCTTTTTTTGTGTTGGGTATTTTTGAGATAGGGTCTCACAAACTATTTGCCAGGGCTGGATTCAAACTGCTATCTTCCTGGTCTTTCCCTCCTGAGTAGCTAGGAATATAGGCATGGGTCATCAGCACCTGGCTAACCCACAATATATTTGAATGTGGGTAACATGTATAACAATAAACTAGAGTTCTTTTTATATTTAAATAGCTTTACAATATAAACAAATGTGTGGTAATTTATTCTATTTCTTACACAAATATAATGTGTAATAGGAAAGCATGAATTTAATAATTTTAAGAAACCTAGGGGTTAGGGGTATAGCTCAAGAGGTAGAGCACTTGCCTAACAAGTGTAAGGGTCTGGGTGCAATATCCAGTACTGCTAAAGAAAAGAAAAAGGAAAACAAAAAAAACCCTAGTCATTAGTGAAGTATTACCAAAAATAAAATAGAAAGAAAATTATGCTAAGGGAAAAACATGTAAAAGATTCCTGAGTTAGAAGAATGAAGAAAACATTCCAAAGAATCTCTGGGAACCGATTCTTAAAATTGCAGTTACCAGTTATGGTTTCTTATGAAACAACCTGACCCTTGGACTCTCAATCTTCCTTCTCTAGATGGTTTTGATAACACACATTTCTAATTGTGCCAACCACCCTCTGCTGATCAAAAGTTCATTCATGAGAGCACAGTTCTTTCTCATATTCTGTATTATTCTAGGCAGAATCTCACCAAAGATTGTTATTTCCCTTCCTTAATTAGGTCAATCCCTTCCAGAAATGGAGAGGATAGGGCAATAAAAATCAGGACTGCACTTCAATTCAAAGTAACTGACTTTATAGGAAGTGTTGATGAGTTCTAAAATCTCTTTCCCCAAATCTTTTTGCCTGAATTTCTTCTACTTACTGAATTCAAGGTCTTTGCCAGCACAAGGAAGAAAGAAGTAGAACTTCCTTGCTTTTAGTCAATGACACAAAATGTAAGCATAGGATTTAGATTTCATTTTTCCTGTGAAGACAAAGAAAATATTTGTTGTTCAAGAATAGCATTAGATTCAAATGAAACAAGATTAAATTGTAAGAGCACAAGGAATCTCTAGAACTATGCTAGATATAATGGTTTCTAATAGCATACATGAAAAAAAAATGAATACATTTAGAAGAGAGAAAGTCCTCTTAATCTCCTTGTGTTCAAGATATTCTCTAAGACATGGAATAAAAGGCTTTTTGTTTCCTTTAGAAACCCTTCACAAACCTTAGCACCTTTAGAGAAGCTTCCCTCAACCTTTTCCCCTTTATCAAGGTAAATGAATGGTTGGATAAGAAAATGAGTTTTTATGCCACTAATCAGAAAGGCAGAGATTATTACAAGAAAGACCTCATAGTACCCAAGGAGGAGGAACAGCAAGATGAACGCTACTTTCCTTACCCTCATGTACATCTCTGTGCTGGATCTCTGGCCACTATACCATGTAGTTTCAGCTGCTTGTATGCCTAATAGGGAGAAATGTATCAAGACAAATGAGATCAGGCAAATAGTTAAAGGGACTATGGCCTCTAGATTCAGAGTCATCTGAAAGAATTTGGAATTTTACTCACTTTGAATTCACTAGCTTTACTTGTTCAATACTGGTCCTGATGAAGTTAGACCCCATGCCACCATGAGAAAAGATCCCAGAAAGATCTCAAGGATGACCTTACTGATCTTTAGGCTGAGACATATGAAAAAAGGGTGAGATCCTTTGGCTATCTTGAGTAAATAAAAGATTCTAGTGAAAAACCAGCCACTTTAATTATTGGCAGGTGTCCAGACAATATTTAAGGGGTTCACTAGCTTACCACTCTTATATGTGTCTTAAGGAGCGGCATAATGGACCCCTCTAAAGACATTACATGCAAGTAGATTCCAGAGATCACAAAGACATCAACCACGGAGGGCTAGCTCTGCTCTTGAATCAGTCAATGCTGTTAACCAGTACAATGAATCCATTTCCCAAACTCTTTCTAGATAGCTCACCATTGATCAAAATCATATATATTGTCTCAGTTCTTGGCACATCAGATGAGAGTTCTGATTTTGAATATTACTGATGATGAATTGAATCAGCTGACCAGTGAAGGATGGTATAAATGTCTGCTACTTAGGAAATGCTACAGTGATCTTTCTCTTTTGTCAGTTGTGATCAAGGAGATAGCAGTTCTGCTCTGCACTAGAACTGCCTGAAGTTTTTACTGACTGAGATCAGTAATTTCCTTTTTGAATAGTGATGATTGAGATGATCTAAGATGCAAATGAGAATGGATCTGATTTCTTGCATTTGCACAATCTGTCTCATTTTAAACTGTTTCTTTTTCTTTTCTTTAAATTGTCAGATAGAATTTCATGTATTTATTGTGTATCATTAAAGTATATATACATCATGGACTGGTTAGTTAAATCTAAATCTATTTAATATGTCAATGTCAACGAATGTGCCAAGGAACCACAGTGAGGAAATGACACAGTTTTCAATAAACGGTGTTCAGAAAACTGGATATTCACATGAAGAAGAATGAAACTAGAATCTGCTTCATACCATACATAGAAATCAACTCAAAATGGATTAAAGACATATATGTAAGATTAAAATTATGACACTCCTAAAAATAAACAGAGGGAGAAAGCTCCACAATATGGAAGGTTTGAATACATCTATGTAGTGATTCCATTATATATTTACTAAACTGTTAAGACTGATTTACCCCTATAAAAAGAAAGTATATGCTATTATGTTATAACATAATAGTAACATAAGCATTACCTCATAGTTACCATTTATGTGGTGAGAACACTTAAGAGCCACACAGCCTTTTTTGAGAATGCAGTACATTATCATTAGCTGTGGTCATCATGCCATACAGCAGATCTCTTGAACATATTCTCATTATTGAACTGTAATTTTGTATTCTTTAACCAATAAAACCTCAATCCACCATTACTTTCAACTTCTTCCACTACTAGTAAACATACTTCTACTTTCAACTTATATGATGTTATCTTTTTTAGATGTCATACATAAGTGAGATCATGCACCATTTGTCTTTTCCTTTTCTGCCTTATTTCATTCAACATAATGTCCTCCAGGTTTATCCATGTTATCACAAATGACAGTATTCCCTCTTTTTTAAAATGAAAAATAGTATTCCACTGTGCATATGTATACCATATCTTCTCTTTTCATTCATCCATTGATGGACATTTAGGTTGATACCATATCTTGACTATAGTAAATAATTCTGCACACATGAGAGTACAGACATATTTTCAGATATTGATTTCATTTCTTTTGGATACATATCCCAAACTGACATTGCTGGATCATATGGTAATTCTACTTTTAGTCTTTAATCTTTAGTCTATTAGACACTCATATGTCTTCTTTTGAAAAATATCTACTCGAGCCTTTTGCTAATTGTTTTTTGTGCTACTGGACTTTGAACTCAGGTCCTTGAATTTTCTTGGCAGTCACTCTACTCTACTGTGAGCCATGCTCCAGCCTTTTCTGCTTTAGAGTGTTTTTTTGGCAACATTGGGGTTGGAACTCAGGGTCTTCTGCTTGCTAGGCAGGCACTGTACCACTTGAGCCTACTCCACTAGCCCTGCTTTGGGTATTTTTCACATAGGGTCTTGCATTTATGCCTGGACGATCCTGATATTAATCCTCCTGTTCACACTTACCACATAGCTGGATGACACATGCATGCCATTATACCCAGCTTTTTATTGATTGAGATGGGATCTTGCTAACTTTTTGCTCAGGCTGGCCTTGGACAGTGATCTTCCTGACCTGCTTCCTGAGTAGCTACCATCACAGACATGAGACACTGC